TTCTTCTGGGTTTTTTTTTTTAAATCGCTTCTGTGCTTCTATACGATTCTTTTTCCGCGTATCCGGTTTCGATTTCTTGCAACATAGGTGAAAAATGGGATTATTTACTCATTTTTACTTAATTTTGGAGTTGGAAATATAATAGGATTTGGAGAAAATTTTACTCAAACTTTCATTTTAGAATGAAAAATAGAGTGCCTTGTAGATGGCTGATGAGAGGTTGTTTACCGGTAAGTAATGAACCTCTCAAATAAAACCTAACAAAGCTAACAACTTAACTCATGATTCAATTGCAGCAAGTGAAAGGGTTCGTACTCAGGGAAGACAAGTACCTACAATATTAGACCATTGAGTATTTTAGTTAATCTAAAGCACCAATAAGGGTTTGGATTTGTTGCTCTAAACTAAACTGAAATGTAACACTACTGGAAATGCACAGAAAAGAGATGTGAGGTGAATGCAATGATAATGGAAGACATCATGTGTCGGATTAGCAATAGATGTGAATCAATGGATTGCGGCTAACAAAGCTAGGGCCTTTAACCTTAAAGCTCAACTCTTAAGCATGAGACACGAATATAGATCATCCCACTTTCGTGACGCTACTAAGCACTTTGTCGAGTACAAACATCTAATGAACTTTCGATGCTGGATATAAGTACTCTCCAAGCTTAAAGATCAAGTTCCAATAAGCTCACTTAGCTCCTCTACACACTTTCGCGGCCAGAGGATCACTAAGCCGAGCAAAAGGTCGGTCCGGCATTCCGACAAACACATTTCGGGCAGCGGAACGCCTCTGGACAAGATTCAAGGCCAGATCGAAGAACCAAGCTTTAACCTCAACCTAAGCTCGAAAAACGTGATATGGAGGCCAAAACTAAGTTAGTCGTTCCTCTAAAGCTTCTACATCTACTAATCCGACATTCGACAAGCGGACTACTCACTCATGGCTACAGGAAAAGCCATGATTGAGCTCGAGTGAAGGATGTAAAGAGAAATGCAAAAACAGATACTAAACAAGCACAAAGATTCAAACTTTAAGCTAAAGATGGAAACTTTATAAAGACAAAAACTTAGAACATCAAAGTATCAATGCTCTAAGGATTGATTCAAGTTTTAACGTAAAAGGAAAGCTTTCAAGCGTAAAAAAGAAAGAAAAGCAGACTTAGGTTTTCTTCGGGGTTAAGAACATATTTATACCCCCATAAAACAGTACCCGGGTCGGCCCGAGATAAAAGAGGATCGCCCAGCTCAAGTCAACGATCGACCCGGAATAAGTCAACAAAATGCATAATATATTGGTCACTCCATATCAGGGAAGTGACTGATTTCGAGTGCCCATACAGCGCGTCCAACAGCTCTCGTGTCGCGACACTAGTCCCTCGATTGGCGCAGTATATCGGTCTTCCTCATCGGTAGTTACCGATATCAGGGGATATCGGTTTTTTCAGCTTATTCTTCAGTCAGTTAGATACGCTTGGTCCAACGGTTGGAGAGTCTTTATGCTCCATTATAACAAGGGGATAACCTGGGATATTTGTGCACAGATTTATGGGCATTAACATCCTGATTCTCACCCAAGTTACGAACTTCAGTGATTTTGTTGAGACTTCATCCTTCTGCTATTCCAGGTACTTCTCACCGGTGTTCTCTGATGATTCATGATTGATTCCTGCTCCATTGCTCCTTGTTTGCTCCAGAACTTTGCAACTCCTCTGCGAATTCACTCCTCTTCATTCCACTCCGATCCTCTAGGTTCTAGTAAGCCAGATAGTTCCAATTAAACATAAGTACAACCTGGAAAATGATAAAAGAAGCGAAATATGTATAACTCTATTCTAGGACTCTAAGATGCAAATCTAAACTAAACCAGCGCTAAAGAGTGCCTATATGATGCAGAATGATACTAAACAGAGGGTAAAGGTATGCAAATATGTACACAAATAATGCATATCAAATTATCAATGGCCTTAGACTAAATTCTCATATTGTAGGGGTCGGATTTCACCCCTATGAGATCGATATAACGACAAGATCAACTGGGCAGCATCCTAACGAAATCGGACCAAGTCTACAAAGGCCTAGTCTAAATCTAGGCCCAAAATGACATTAAACTCATTAACAAAAATGGGCTTAATGGATTAATGGGCCTAATTTTAATATATTGTTTAATGGGTCAGGTCCATTTATTAGCTGGCCCATTTTACTTAGAAGTACTATATA